CCACCACCACCACTCACAGCATTGGTATGTGGGGTCTCTAACACCACACCACCACTCACAGCATGGGTATGTGGTGCCTCTAACACCACCACCACTCACAGCATGGGTATGTGGTGCCTCTAACACCACCACCACCACTCACAGCATGGGTATGTGGGGCCTCTAACACCACCACCACCACTCACAGCATGGGTATGTGGGGCCTCTAACACCACCACCACCACTCACAGCATGGGTATGTGGGGCCTCTAACACCACCACCACCACTCACAGCATGGGTATGTGGTGCCTCTAACACCACCACCACTCACAGCATGGGTATGTGGTGCCTCTAACACTACCACCACTCACAGCATGGGTATGTGGGGCCTCTAACACCACCACCACCACTCACAGCATGGGTATGTGGTGCCTCTAACACCACCACCACCACTCACAGCATGGGTATGTGGGGCCTCTAACACTACCACCACCACTCACAGCATGGGTATTTGGTGCCTCTAACACTACCACCACTCACAGCATGGGTATGTGGGGCCTCTAACACTACCACCACTCACAGCATGGGTATGTGGGGCCTCTAACACTACCACCACTCACAGCATGGGTATGTGGGGCCTCTAACACCACCACCACTCACAGCATGGGTATGTGGGGCCTCTAACACCACCACCACTCACAGCATGGGTATGTGGTGCCTCTATCACTACCACCACTCACAGCATGGGTATGTGGTGCCTCTAACACCTCCACCACTCACAGCATGGGTATGTGGTGCCTCTAACACCACCACCACCACTCACAGCATGGGTATGTGGTGCCTCTAACACTACCACCACCACTCACAGCATGGGTATTTGGTGCCTCTAACACTACCACCACTCACAGCATGGGTATGTGGGGCCTCTAACACTACCACCACTCACAGCATGGGTATGTGGGGCCTCTAACACTACCACCACTCACAGCATGGGTATGTGGGGCCTCTAACACCACCACCACCACTCACAGCATGGGTATGTAGTGCCTCTAACACCACCACCACCACTCACAGCATGGGTATGTGGGGCCTCTAACACTACCACCACTCACAGCATGGGTATGTGGGGCCTCTAACACTACCACCACTCACAGCATGGGTATGTGGGGCCTCTAACACTACCACCACTCACAGCATGGGTATGTGGGGCCTCTAACACCACCACCACCACTCACAGCATGGGTATGTGGTGCCTCTAACACCACCACCACCACTCACAGCATGGGTATGTGGGGCCTCTAACACTACCACCACCACTCACAGCATGGGTATGTGGGGCCTCTAACACCACCACCACCACTCACAGCATGGGTATGTGGTGCCTCTAACACCACCACCACCACTCACAGCATGGGTATGTGGTGCCTCTAACACCACCACCACTCACAGCATGGGTATGTGGGGCCTCTAACACCACCACCACTCACAGCATGGGTATGTGGTGCCTCTATCACTACCACCACTCACAGCATGGGTATGTGGTGCCTCTAACACCACCACCACTCACAGCATGGGTATGTGGTGCCTCTAACACCACCACCACTCACAGCATGGGTATGTGGTGCCTCTAACACCACCACCACTCACAGCATGGGTATGTGGGGCCTCTAACACCACCACCACTCACAGCATGGGTATGTGGGGACTCTAACACCACCACCACCACTCACAGCATTGGTATGTGGGGTCTCTAACACCACCACCACCACTCACAGCATGGGTATGTGGTGCCTCTAACACCACCACCACTCACAGCATGGGTATGTGGTGCCTCTAACACCACCACCACCACTCACAGCATGGGTATGTGGGGCCTCTAACACCACCACCACCACTCACAGCATGGGTATGTGGGGCCTCTAACACCACCACCACCACTCACAGCATGGGTATGTGGGGCCTCTAACACCACCACCACCACTCACAGCATGGGTATGTGGTGCCTCTAACACCACCACCACTCACAGCATGGGTATGTGGTGCCTCTAACACTACCACCACTCACAGCATGGGTATGTGGGGCCTCTAACACCACC